TTTCCTATGATAAGAGTTTACATTTGGCAATGCAATATTTTCTTCCTTACGTATTTAAAACTATAAAAGAATTAGCACTTCTGTATATAAAGTATAACCAGAGAGAGAGAGAGAAAGAGAGAGAGAGAGAGAGAGAGAGAGAGAGAGAGAGAGAGAGAGAGAGAGAGAGAGAGAGAGAGAGAGAGAGAGAGGGAGAGAGAGAGAGCGCGCGAAAGCAAGTGAGAGAGAGGCAATGATTCTGTTTGGTATTTGATAAATAAATGCATAAGAGCAGCCTACCTTTAAAAATTCAGCACAGTCTTCTATCTTGTTGTGGCTTAAGTCTAGCCACTTCAGCACGTTTAATAGACTCTGAATAATTTAACAAAAGTGTTACATCAAACAAAAGTGTTCCATGCAGATTCCAGTATAAGTTACTCTATTTCAGCTTTTCCATTTTAAAGATTCTTACTAGCGACTCGTCGAGACAGGAAATGGAATTGTAACTGAAATTCAGGGTTTGAAGTTCTAACCAGGGTAAAGCTGAACTGAGATCTCCTCCACACAAAGAAAGAAGCTCCTGTTAAAAGACACACAAAATTACTTTGTTTCTGTAAATGCTCATTATTCACTACGTCAGTGCTTTCTGGCACAAAAAAATACCTCTAGAGAGCTGACACCTTTTGAGCAAGTAAACACTTCCAACTGAGAATACACTCCTCTAAGACCCTCCAGACAATGAGGAGGAATGCGCTTTAGCTAAACAGAAAGAAAACCAACCACAAAAACACATTTTCAGATATCAGGGCAGAATAATACATAATAACACGTATAACTGAACTAGATGGATAAATTATTTTGAAATACCTCTAAGTGTTTGAGGGACTTGAAAGGGAAGATTTTCACAACATATTGTAGTTTCACACCAGGTGGATTAACAAGCTGTTTTGCAGATGAACAAAATCAGATCATTGCCACAATTACCCTATATTTAAAAACGTATTTAAATGAATGAATGAATAATAATGATTCCTTAAGAAACCTGGAAAATGGAAGTTGTTTACAAAAATTCATGTATTCTTTATTATCATGAAATCAAAATTTCTCAGATGATTAACATTTGAATTACTCTACTTTAAAATAATAAACACTTCAGAACATCATCAAAAGCTTCAATACCTTGAGTGATACTGTCTTCTGCAGCATGTCAAATAGAAATTGGACTTCCAGCAGGGAGGCAGTGTCTGCTGGGTGCGAAGGCAGAGCCAGAAAACCATGCTGATGTGTGCGTGAAAGAAGGTGCCGCTCGAAGAGTTGTGTCAGGTGCTGTAAGCATCCCACTTGCAGAGTGAGCGTGCTGGAACCATCCAGTACAGAGTCACCTATGCAAAAATTAACAAGAACCTGATTGTTATAATTTTTAAAAAAAACTGACGGCAAGCATTCAAAGGCAAAGCCTAAACATATTGAGCAGCTGTACATCATTATAAAAGCACAGTTAATTTGAATGACTCAATCCAAGTCAACATGAAGACAAAATCTTCAAATACTTAACATTGTTTGTTTTTCTGGAGTCTCCAGATTTATTGTTTTCAATTATGGAGAATGTTGAAATGTTAAGAATTATTTAGTTGATTTGTTTCCATGTTTTAACATATAAACATCTTTTAATCTGTTTAAAACTTGGTTTCTGTTTTAATCATTTTTATTCTTTTTAGTTTTTATTTCTTGTACTTTATGCTTCTTTTATTCTCGCTTATGTAAAGCACTTTAAATTATCATTGTGTATGAAATGTGCTAAATAAATAAACATGTATTGCAAATTATGAAGAACATTGAATTGTTTGGAATGATTTAGTTGATTTGTCTCCCATGTCTTTAACATAAAGCGATTTTTAATTCTAAACTCACAACAGTTTTCTGTCTTAATTGTACTCCATCCAAATTCCAAATGCTTGCATGCAAAGAAAAAGTATGTCCATGTATAATTTATCTTTGCACTTTCAGTTACGCTATTCAGGCATGATTCATTTTCATGTAATTATACTACTGGTAATTATTACTTAACATTATCTTTAAGTAAACAACAGGTTTGATTTGTTGTTTGTAAAATGTATCCCCTATGTACAGTATATACTACTGTAAACAAAAACGTCCCTGGTTAAACTACTGGAATAAACAAAACAATCCAAAAAAATAAACAGCAATTGTTGTACCATTATTTCGCAGTAATGTGGCAAGTCTGTGTACAACCCTTGACTGACCAGCCTGAGTGGATGACATCCTAAAGAGAGTGAAACATATTAACAGAATTAACCCAAATACATAACGTTACAAGTGGGGACCATTATTAACTTGTAAGCATAATTGTATTTTTTCTATAACGTTAAATTAGATTGGGCAATACAACATTTCTACGGTAAAGATGATGAATTATTATTTGTATTTAAAATATGTTCACAAAAATCCAGGGTTCTAGACAAGCTCCAATCGTATGTAGCAAATATACTATCACAAATCCTGATAAAACTATAACACATTAGCAACATTTAACCAAGAACGGAACTGGCAACTCTTACTGACGTTCTAAGAATAGTCTCGCTTCATATTTGTTCTCAGGAATGAGCTGCAACATACCTTATGTTTCCAAAAATACGTGACTCGTAGTCACAATTAAGATTAAGCTCAATTTTGAACAAGCATTAAGATTCATGGCATTAGTTCAGCTAAATTCCCTTTCACGTTTGTTGACATCCTGATGGTAACGGTCATATGATCTTGTTTCTTAAAGGTACGGCGGCCCGAAGCAGCCAAACAAGTGTTTATTTAACTAAGCGCGCCCTCCTGCGTTTATTTCCACATCCATCACAATACCAAAGATTAACATCTTTTCAATGTAAGTTGTTTGTAATGGCTTTAGAACATTACATCGATTATCCTGATTTAACTGCAATTGTTTGTTTATTAAAGGCAAGGCAAGTTTATTTATATAGCACATTTCATACACAATGGCAATTCAAAGTGCTTTACATAAACAATAATAAAAGAAACAAGTAAAATAAAAATAAAAACAAATAATAAAAATGCGTAAAAACAAAACAAAACATAAAAACAGGTAAAGAATAATCTTGTTTCTTTGAAGATTCACCCTCACAGCTCAGTCAAAAATTGCGTATCTCATTGAAAGTGCTATCTTTACAATGTCTTAAAGTGCAAAACAGCAGTATTTACATCACTGTGAAACTGTCGTTTTATGGTAGACATGTAAAACTGTATGTCCAAAAATGTTTGTTCTTTTGCTTGTGTCCACACTGACTACACAAAAATCTGCTTTTCTTGGAAATCAAACACTAAACCCCAGAAAACTATTCCAAAGTACACAATTCAATTCTATGCACTGAACAAGTCAGTTGAGTACACAGTTCAGTAAGACTACACACAATTTAAAATCATTTGCTTATAGGCCTATTGTAAAATAGAAATAATGAAGAATAAAATAATTAGTCCTTATTAAGCACATCCAAAATGTTATTACCTCATTGGGATTCATTTTTTTTTCTTTGAAAAAACAAATTTGAACTAGGTCTATGAATCATATTTAATATTACATAAATGTATAATTTTATATAAATTATATATACATTTTATCATTTAAAACATAATTTTTAATGTAAAATGTATTTACTTGGAAACTACTGAAGAAAAATGGTGTGCATTTTTTAATATTCAAAATAATAGATAGCTATAAAGATATAGACTTTTGTAAAAACCTTGCTTAAACCTCTCACTTAAAATGTACTAATAAAATTAATCTTAGTAAAAACAATTCTATCTATTGATATGAACAGTGCTACTGAAGTTATTCTGATCATTAGTGAAGTGTGTCACTTGTCTACTCAGAAATGTCCTTGATAGAGAGTTGCACTTAAACAACTGGAGATAGTATTGTAACTATCAAAGCAAGAGGGCTTATAACCCTCAAAATCCTACAGAAAACCAGATGTACAAGCTATGGGTTCACTGACAAAGTGCTTAGGAGATTCCAAAAAGCTGACATGATGTTTTTCAAACACTATCCTGATTCAGCACGATACCCACCAGGTAGCTTATTTCTAAAGTACCCCTTTTTTACCAAAATTAAGGTTAAATAAAATCCTGCCGTCAACAAATAACATCCCATAAAACTAGAGGGCACCCGAATAGAAAAATAATACTCATTTATTTCACTTTGACAACTATAGCCAATCTGGCATGAAGCATGCAGATATTTCTGAACTGTTAAATAAACAACAAGGAATTCTCAAAGGGGAACAGAGTGCAGGCTTTACTGTGGATGGGTTAATGGTTGTTTGGATGGTAAGCATGATATCTTGATTCCTGGCCCCTGTAATCAATAGGCAACTGAGAGATTACAACATTCAGCCTGTATAGGTATAGGTGTCATTTATAATGTCAGTGGGTTTTGATATGCATATGTTTACAGCACAAAATTTTCTCAACTGTTTATTTGCTTAGCAATACCTATTTATAAAGATCATCAATAAAATATTTGTAATTATTTTTTTAAAATATTTACAATACTACATGTATTTGATAAGCATAAGCCGATCTGCACATTGTTAAGTGAATTTTTGTATGGTGTTTTAGAGGAGGACGGGTTCCCCCAGTTGAAAATAAATAACTTTAATAAATAAAATTCCACTTCAGGGTAATTATCACCAAGAATCTGATTTAATTAAGCCATTGAATTTATCAAGACCCTGCTGGTCTAGCTTAACTCAGGAATTCACTTAATGTCTGCTGGAGCTCAGACTGGTTACTTGCTCCATGGAGCTGCAATATTGTTAAATAAGATTGACAGTCTAAACAACACAAAAAGCGTTAGCTAGTATTAAAATATATGCTCTAAAATTGAGGCAGGACAGGCCTAACAGAAAACGGCTCTGGCACTGTTGCCCTTTGAGGATTTGTTTGACAAAGCTGCAGCCCGCCTGTCATCTCCTATGATGTCAGCGGCATATGAACACTGATAGGAGCCGCAGCAGCTCCAGTTAGCCGTCACCTGTCCGAGTGCGCTTCTTACCTGCACAAGTTATTCCTCCGATTTTTAGACCTTTTATATCGTGGACACGATGTTGTCCTATGTGAGTTGCGGCTTGTTGCTGGCATTGGTGACTTTTCACGGTACCGCTCGCTCAGAAATGGTGTTCCGCTGTCCGAGCTGCACCGCGGAGCGCCAGGCGGCTTGCCCGATGCTCACGGAGACGTGCGGAGAGATTGTGCGCGAGCCGGGCTGCGGCTGCTGTCCCGTGTGTGCCCGACAAGAGGGTGAGCAGTGCGGCGTTTACACACCGAGATGCTCCAGTGGTCTGCGGTGTTATCCCAAGCCGGATTCGGAGTTGCCCCTGGAGTTGCTGGTTCAAGGGCTCGGGAGATGCGGACGTAAAGTGGACACTGAGCCCACAGGAAGCGCAGAGCCTCGGGAAGTCAGCGGTATGTGTTTTAATGGATGGCAGTTGATTTATTTGTTGCAGTACTGCAAATAAAAGGTTTGCACAACTTTTATCTGCAAGTTGATTGCTTGGAATGCTGGTAGAAAGCCGATTGAATGAATTTAATAATGTAAAAGTACCAAATCAAGTTGCACCTTAAATTGTTAATAATCAAATGCAGTCTAAAAACCCGAATGCAACACGTTTGATTAAAAGCTATGTTTTCTGCATATTCTGCAGTAGCAGTTTAGGCGGTCATCGATAAATTGGTTTGAGCGCGTCAGCATCTGGAGTCAGTCTTTTGCAGGCTACTCAAACTGCATTATTTTAACACACTGTTAATTAGGCACCTGTTGTGGCAGTAAGCCTATGATTAAGTGTTTTATCCCTCTTAAATTAAATATAAGGCGACGAAGGGAGGAAGGAAGAAATAAAGACGAAAGAGCTTTCTGGAGAACTGGGGAGTAGTGGAATGCAACAGTGATAGCAAGACGGATTTTGCGCTTTGACCCTTTCCTGCAGTAAATTTATCATCGTGGCGCGCGCGGTGTGTGTGTCTGTGCACGAGAGAGATAGAGAGGATGGGTCTGAACAAGCAGAGCAAGAGGACGGGTCTCGACGGAGAGCATGCTGTGGCGCCTTAAGGACATTCAATTAATGGGGTGGCTAGATGGGTTTAGTAAAAAGGTTAAAGTGGCATGCCAAAAAGTAGCCTATAAAAGTGCCTTGCCATAATATTTTACCCCTTATGTATGTTGTAGATTTTTCTTATGCTATACCTTATGTGATTTTACTTATAAATAAACTAGACTAGTGACAACAAGAGTCTGTTTTGTGCAAGACAACATAAAACAGAGGATATTTAAGCACTTGTGGCAAAAAAAAGCATGCTAGATTTACATCCTGAGCAAAATGTCATGGTATGCACATAATTAGTTTTGACTTTGTATTGGATATGGATTTTTGGGGAAAATTGTGGTAACAGTGTATAGATTATATGCATGCATTAGCAGACATAAAAAACATAACTTAAAGGTTGCCAAAGGGCAAAATTATTTGGATTTTAAAGTTAATAGCATTAAAATATATACTTGATTAGATGTTTTTGTAGTCTCTGGGACCATATTTTAAAGGAATTCCGAATGACGGAAAACAGCATCCAAAAGTACTAAATACTTTTTTTTAAACAATATTTGACAGTATAATGACCAGATTATATAAAAAGCTGCACAGTGTTTAAGCTACACTTCAATGATCTTACATCCAAAGCAGGGTACACTATTAAAATCATGTAGATAAGCATTTTGGAAGCTTCAGGTGTTATAAACTCATATATTTATTTGACCATATTTTACATTTATTATATTTATACTATTCAATTTAATTTATTTTGATTTACATAGTGCTTTTACAATGTAGATTGTGTCAAATCAGCTTAACATAGAACTTCTAATAAACTGAAACTGTGTCAGTCCAGTTTTCAGAGTTTAAGTTCAATTTAGTTCTATTCAGTGTGGTTAAATTTTCACTGGTTAAAGTCCAAAAACTTAAGAGCAAATCCATCGATGCACAGCTCCACGAGTCCCAAACCAAGCAAGCCAGTGGTGAGGACAAAACTTTTAAATATTTGAATTTTAATAACCTTGAACAAAAGTGCAATGCAAGCAAGTTTATAATTTGTGGTAATATAAAAAAATGTATATTAAAGGAATTAAAGTGAAAAAATAAATAGAAAAACCAAAACAAAAATTAAAAGGACCTTTTCCCAATTTGTCAAAATGTATAATACATACCAGGTAACCTTTTATTTCTACATATTTGGCATGGGCTGGTATAAGATTCTGACGGTATAATAACATTAGATAAAAATATCACGGTTTTACTGTAGTGTGATTACTGCTCTAAAATACAGTATGTCTGGTTGAAAAACTACAACTTTTTTCCCATTGAACACAATATATTTTATTTCAAGAAACATTTTAAGTATTTTGGAACTGTAAACATATCAGGCTTAATAATTCAAATAAATCATTGACTTCTCTTGTCTCCATTAGTTTAAAAACACAGATTTTTTTTACAACTTGAAAAGGCATCTTTGGATATCTTTCTTTTCTTTGCATATAAAGTAAGCAACTATAGCATGCTGGGATGCTGGATGTTGCCCAAAATAGTTAAATAAAATGTTGTGTAAAAAAAAAAAATTACTTATTCCATAGGAACAGTTAAAAAAATTGAATGGTTTTAAAACCTTGACTTTTCCTTGACTTTTATCGTCCCATGCCTAGCACATTATTAGCAGACTTTCAGAACAGGACTCATATAAAACAGGACTAATTTATATAAACTGCAGCAGGGGCTCATGAACTGTACAAATGCATCCCCATGTCAAACACCAGTGTCGTCTAAATAGCTTTAGCAGCACCAACATGCAGGGCTGAGCAAGAGCACTTGGAAAACATGACCAAAAATTCCTCATAAAAATAAACAATTTTGGTCTGTCTATGGGTGAATTTTTGTGCCCAGTGAGAATGGGCTTAGGAATCCAGTGTTTTTGTTTAAAATCTTGAACATTCTCAGTGCCCATTTGATCTTTGTGCTTTGAAGTTTCACAAGTGTTCTCCAAATCCTGTTGTGGTGGAGGTCAAGTTTTTGGAGAAAGAGAGGAAAACATACACTTCCTTTGAATGGCGAGCATTCTGTAGCTGCGTTTAGCATCAGGGCCTCTTAATTTATAATATATTTTCATGACACATTTGACATAGTTATAAGGTTATTAAGTATTAATAAGTATCTTTTTTTGGCTGAATAAGCAATTTTATTTATTTATTTAATCATTTTTGTGTGACATTTGAATGCAAATACCTTATCACACAGGTTTATTTTAGGTTTTTACTAGATGATTTAGTAGATTTACCTTTACATTTACACAAAAACAAAAACAATAAAAACAATTGAATACTACTTATTGATTAAAAAGCCCCTATTATGGGTTTTTGAAAATTATCTTTCATGCAGTGTGTTACACAGCTTTAAGTGAATGAAACATCCAGCTGAGGTTTAAATTTGAAAGTGCACCGTGGTTAAAATGATTGATTCTTGAAGGAAATAGTCAACTCAGAGTCGAATAAATGATGTCTTGCATCTGAATCTTTTGCCTCAACGTTGATACGAGCCAAATATGAAGTGCTGGATCCAGTAAAACGTGAATTTGCCCTTCCCTTCAAACACTAGCGGAGTGTATGCAAGCGGAGAGTGAGCAAAGACTATTTGCTGAGTATTTGCAAAGTATAGGACTTTGTCAGTTACTATTACACAGTTTTTTCTTCCTCCCAACGTGAACAGTTTCTTCTTCAAATCACCAGGGTGAAAAAAATAGTTGCTTCATTTTCTGCAGTTTGCAAAATATGTATTTAATTATGTGTTTTAAATTGTAATAACGTTGTGTGTCTTGTAATCACTTATCTACTATAGATCAGTCGTTGTAATGTATCTTTTAGGTTAAATCTTTATGGGGATATTCACATATCGCGTCTAAAATAACGTTAAAAATGTGGCGCATGTTTTTACCTTTACCAATTTAAATGCTTTATGAACTCGTACTTTCCTGCTGTTTGTCATTGCTATGGCCACCATCAGCTGTTCCTACACACACCAGGCATGGCCAATTTTTTCAATAGTTTAACTTTTGCCACTGTATATTTTAATACTGAAACTTGTTAGGACTACAGTTTCTCCAGCAGAAAAGATATCCAAAGATGATGTTTTAATTTGTAAAAAAAAAAAAAAAAAATCTGTTTCTTGAAACAAATTAAGACAGAAGTCAATTATTAGCTCGACACGTTTACTGCTCCAAAATATTATATATGTTTCTCAAAATGAAATATACTGTGTTCAAAAGGAAATAAAAAGTTTTAGTTGTTTTATCCAGACATTTACAAAGAATATATTTTAGACCAGTAATCACAAAACCTTAAAACCGTGAAACCGTGATATTTTTATCCAGGGTTATCATACTGTCAGAATCTTATACCAGCCCATGCCTAGTAGGTATGAAAGAGTAATTCTTTGTCAAAAATAGTACTTTCAGGTTGAAACTTGTTTTAGAAGCTTTATTATTATTATTATTATTATTATTATTATTATTATTAAGGGTGGAACTATGGCAACTGACAACAATATATGAAATTAAGTGGATGTTTAACTGAGAGAGAAATAGAGTAAACATTTTATTTATCTAAAGAGGATGTATCTGTTTTGAATAACTCAACATCAGATTTGGTGTAAAACCATTATCATTGCCGTAGCTTTGATCTTTGACCAGTAATGAGTGGATCTTTCTGTGGCTCAGTGCTAATTTGAATTTATGAACATTTTAATTGTGTGCTCCAGGGACCAGTTTAGACTGATCTGTTAAAGGGTCTAGATTGCAATTATTTCTCCCTGTTTTATTTACAGCATTATATGCACACATTTACACTGTAGATTAGCTCACTGCATGCCTCCAAGCTGAAAAAAAGTTGTGTCTTTTACTTTTATGTATTATAAGCTAAAGATCTCTTAGAGAAAAGATGGATTAAAATTGTCCATGGAGTACAACTGTCCATCTACTCTAGATTAATATGAGATTAAGCAAAATGATACCTGTCCTTTAAGAAAACTGAGACTCCTGATGTTACAGTGAATGGGAAGTTTCGAAAGTCTTACTTTTAAAATAAAACGCCAAACAAATACTTAGTGAACTTTTTTGAAAGGACTTTGCTGGATCGGTAGAAACAATAAAAATAAGTGAAAAATTTTTCTGTTTGGCTGTGTTGAACTGCAAAATTGAGTACACTTTTAAAGCCAACCAATTCATTCTGTTTTGACAAAAATGAATAAAGACAAATAATAAACAGACAAAGATGACAATTTAATAGATGAGATGAATCACTAATACTACACTAATATTCATTCATTTTCTTTTTGGCTTAGTCCCGTTATTAATCCGGGGTCGCAGCGAAA